CTATCTATCTATCTATCTATCTATCTATCTATCTATCTATCTATCTATCTATCTATCTATCTATCTCATATATATATAGTTGCAGTTTTGTAAAGTACAAGCACTTGAGATTGAAGTGTTTTTAGGTTAAGCCCAGTTTACCTGTCTGGTTGTAATGCATCCAGTTGAGCATGATCTCGGGTGCTCTATACCAGCGAGTCGCCACGTAACCCGTCATTTCGTCATCTGTCTGCCTGGCTAATCCAAAATCCAGGATCTGACAGTTTTGATTCAAACAAATTAGAACCAGAGAAATGCATTGTGGTAATGCAGGAGCATTGTGCTTGCACTCACCCTGAGTTCACAATCTTCATTCACCGCTACATTGCTGGGCTTTAAGTCCTGCAGACATGCATACAAATTACAATTGTGACATTGCATTGTTAAAATATAGATTATGCCATTGCATGTTGCCTGTACTAAACCCAAATATTTTCCATTATGCAATATTTTTTTTAAAGACTCTAGCGGCCTGTAAAGTGGACGCTAAACAAAAACTGTGGAGTAAAGGAAAAGTACTCACTCTGTGGATCAGGCCAGCTGAGTGGATGTACTGTTTGTGAGGAGGTCAAGCCATGAGATAAAGACAAGAGTTTACGCTACAATTCATAACTGATCATAACATCTGCTTGCTTCAGTTTATATGTGTGTTTGTGGAAAAAAAGAACGCAAAGTACTTGCCTTAAGGCCCCGGAGAAGCTGATAGATGAGGAACTGTACGTGTTCATCTGACAGTCTTTGAAATTTGACAATGTTGTTGAGATCCGCTCCCATCAGGTTGGTCACAAGATAGCTATAGAGAGACAGAGTCTTAGCTTATATCCGATCGAAGCTTTTTAAATCATCTTTGCTTGCAAATGCAAAAGAATATTGTTTGATAACTGGTCAGCTGCAAGGGCAGATGGTTTTAATCAAATCAAATAGGCATTTTCAGCTCCCCTGACATCTGATAGGATTTTATGTGCTCTCAAATGCAGATAATTGACACTGGGCAGACACTCACACCTCATTGAATTCTTCAAGAGAAGCTGATGGGGTGAAAACATCCAGCAGTCCAATAACCTGGATGACAAGAGCAAATCACATGAGTGACACACAAGTGGCTCTAAACTTAAAGATAAATCTGAGAATGGTGTGGTTTGCAGGAATGGACATTTGGGATGTGTATATTTATATGTTTGCATGTGTTTTCGGAGGACTTACATTCTCGTGCTTCATGTGTTTGAGCAGTCTCAGTTCTCTGTACGTTCTTCTGCTGTGGATGAGAGACTGGAAGGGTCTGGAGAGCTTCTTAACAGCCACTTTCTGACGAAGACGCACATCATATGCTGAGCTAGAGAATGAAAAAGTGTTATACAATGATTTGATTAAATTTAGAACTAATGTTTTTGCTGAGACAATCGTCATGAGAACAGGATTTTTGATATGACAACGCGACTTGTACGTTCCTGTGTGACCTTTTAAAATGGTATTACTTCCTCATAGAGACCCTTATTACGCTGGCTCTTTATGAAAGCATTCGTATGTTCTTTATTGAACCACATGCCCAAGAGAAACATGTCGAACATGAGTGCAAGACACAGAAGGAATTAAAAGGTACATTGCAAAATTGACATTTGTCTCACCTTTCAGAGGCTCAGTTGAGACTGATTAGACATGCTAATTATTTCAATGTTTCAGAAGGGCAGCTGAGAAATTGATGAAAGGGAAGCAAAAGTAATTGCGTCAGTGAATAATGTAAAAATTCCTGCTGTAACCCAGTACTTTTTTAATGTACTTTAGTATATTAAATTAAGTAAATCAATCCATATCTGTCTGGGCTACAGAACTTGATGGAATTCTTCAATATTCATTAATCAAAATGCGAGATGCAGTCCCTGAATTTTATATCTACAAATGAATCATGCAATATTTGTATTTTTTATTTTATTTATCTAATTTATTTTATTATTTTAGTGCCACACTGAAGTCTACAAATGAATCGTGCAATATAGGCTATGTATTTCATTTCATTATTTTATTTTATGGCCATACTTAAATCTCTGACTCCGTTAAAGACATAGAGGTTAAAGACAAAAACACCCAACCCCCATTTGGGACGCTCCCATCCCTTGATTCAACCCTTCCACACACCAGGTCTGCCCTGCCCCCTTCCTTTAAAATAAATCAGCTCTGCTGTGAAGAAGTCAAATAATCACACAATAGATAGAGGCTTAACGTGAACAATGCAAATTCACAGCTCATTTGAGTAAGCGTTAGTGAGAGTGTGTGTAAAAGATTCTTGGGGTATAAAATGACAGACATTTAAATAAGGATTTTTGTTATATCTATATTCAAATTAAGAGATTACAAACATATCAGGTTTAACATGAATTAGGATGTTGTAACTAAAAGACTATTGCACTGTTGGTTTTGCATGCTTTATTAAAGCACAATGGGACAAGGCTTCTTCTTATTAATGAAAATACATAACAATAGCTTAATCAAGCCTCTCATGTCAGATGACACACTGAAATGTCTCTATAATCATATCCCCGGGCTGTTAGAAATAGCTGAAGTCGACATGGGATCCAATCAGCGGCAATTAAATCCTCTGTGTAAATCCATGCATCTTTTAATACGATAATGAAATAATTAGGTCTCAGGTGGTCTCAGGATGTTGTGGGGCATCTGCTTCACTGACAATGAAATGAGCTGCATCGCGTCATTTTTCAGAGCTGGCAAATCTCCCAACCAAACAGGAAGATAAACTGGTAATAGCTTCTGAAACATGATGCCATGTGATGCCCTCAAGCAGTGTTCTCCTCAGCTATTTTTCCCCCCTTCCAGATGCCTTTAGGTTTGGTATATTTGTTAGTTAGCTTCCATTTAACATTGTCAACCACAATGTCTTTCAGTACACTAATTTCAGCATCTGCCTGAAGTAAACAGGACCTGAAAGCCTGCAGCTTAAAATGACGAAGAGAATGTTGCTGTATAGATCAATATTTATTTATGTAGAATATTAGTGATATTGTGCCTCTTTAAGCCATTGTGTATTTTCTTTCTGTGATATTTTGACGCCATAATGAGTCAGACTGATTTTGACTAACTGAGCTCTTGTCGCAACAGTAGCTTGCAGATGTAATGCTAAGCGGAAATGGAAATGCCTGATTACACAACAATTGTGAAACTTGGTTTGCAAAAAAAAAAAAAGTTGGGAAGAGGAAGAGAAACATGTTCACTTGCAAACTTAATTTAGCATATTATACGGATGAGACATGGCTGAGTTGAGTATAAACTGACTGACATGTTCACAATATTTGCAATTAGTGTGGTGAAAATGGGAAGATACTGAAGCCAGAAGCTGCGTCACCATGGCAACCGTTTCAGTCAGTCACAGCACGAGGGAGGCTGGAGGGCTCTAATGTTGTAGTTGAGATGATACAGAGTGCAATGTAGATCTCTCAGAATGAGTGCATTATGTCAGGATGATATATCTGGATGTTTTCCCGTACAGATGGACATCAGATGCAGATGGGGGTGTGGCACTGGCAACTCCATGGTCTTGCTTTACCGGAACTGAATAGGCCTAGCATGTTGTCTAACTAGCAATATCGTCATATCAGATGAGTATGTTGAAAGGTTGTTTATAGATCCTATCTAAACAGAATCTGATGCCTTAGTATGTGCTGAGTCTGTATATAAATACTACCTGCGAACACCTGTTTTCTTTCAGATCTGCATTTTTGTTCTTGATGGACTACAAGATACGTAATTTAGGTGTTGGTTCGGCATCACTTAGATTATTATTTTTTACTTATCTACTACAGACACGCCACATCAAGGACATTACATCTCCAGGAATGATTGACACATGTCAGTAAACAAAAGGAGCAGCAGCCTTCATCACATTAGAACCAAATATAAAGAGCAATGCTAACAAATATAATTTTCAATATTTTCCAGCCAGTGGTTAATTGTCATTGTGTAAAACGTAAGATTATTGTTTTCTCTTAAGATGCATGCCGGATGTTGTTTTGCAGGCTTTATTCCTGCCTCACCCTCTCCTCTTCTTGGAGGCTAAATTACGAATCTTACTATGACGAAGGCTAAGCTAATTAATATTAATTTATTCACTCTGACGTTACTCGCTAACTTTCCTGGAAAGCCGAGAGGTAATATTCATGAACCACGCCGTCGACAGCGGTCTGAAGTCGTTTCATCCAATCATAGGTTGCGTCGTTAATATTCATTAGCCAAACCTTACTCATAGTAGTGTTTGTAGAGTCGCCTGCTGGACTCACCATACGGAGCCATATGCCCCTGATCCAACCGGTGTGAGATTCTGGTATCGCTCTGGCACCTCCCAGACAGTCTTGTTTAGTTCTTGCCGGTAGAATCCCGGTCTTGTCGACATATCTTCCGTTTGAAAAGACGCTGTTTTATTGCAAAACTGTCGGGAACAATATTAACGCATCCGCATGCGAGATGTGCCTATGTGTGGAGGCAGCCGGCTTTAGTTCCTCTTCATCTACTTGCCAGAAATGGGAGGAACCGTCTGATTCGTGTGTGTGTGTGTGTGTGTGTGTGTGTGTGTGTGTGTGTGTGAGAGAGAGAGAGAGAGAGAGAGAGAGAGAGAGAGAGAGAGAGAGAGAGAGAGAGAGAGAGAGAGAGAGAGAGAGAGAGAGAGAGAGAGAGAGAGATGGGGAAACCCTTCGGGTTATCAAAAAGCATAGGCTATTATAATGAGCCTATTATTACAAAATAACAACTGTGTATGCCTACAACAAATCTTAAAATCATCTTTTAACCTACTTCATATCTTTAAATCAATTATCATCAACCAAATTATGCTATTTACATACAAAATTAAAACTGCTCAAGATTTATTTTGAAATAAAGGTTTATTAGAGTTCATCTCAATATAAACTATTACAATTGTATGAAAATATTCACAATGAAAAATATTAAAACCGCAAATAATTTGTTACAGGTTAATAGTAGAGAAACATTTCAAAAACATTATTTAAATAGTAATGAATTATGCATGGCACTAAAAACTTACTGCAATTAAATACATTTAAATGGGAATGGGTAACAAAGGAAAAGAAAACACACACAAAAATAAGCACAAGAATCTCAAATATTAACTTATGGGCACACAGAACTAACTTACTTTAATAAAGTTCATTAGCCATATAGATAATAAACTGTATAAACTATGACAAATCAAAGAAAAAAGATTTACATTTCCATGTAGAATATATCTTATATTAAGCCAGCTTTCCATCAACCATGCAGAAAGATTTAAAAATCATTGCATGCATTATTAAAGATTTAAGAGAAAATACAAACAGAGAAATGTATTATTTTGTAATTCAAATGCAAGTCCAAACCACCAAACAGGGCTGCATATTAAAATAACTTAAAATTAAATTAAAATAAAATAAAAATAAAATTAATTAAAATTTGCTAATCAAAGCATCAGCAAACGACTCCAAACTTGGAAACAGCTCCGCCTAGTGTTTCATCCCTGATGAGACATGACAAAAGAGGCTTATTTTATAGATTGAGCATTGAGCATTTAGTTAAAGATGGACAAAACACAAAAAAAAGAAAACTGTACGCACAGCTATGTATGATCAAAAGCACGGAGGCAGTGAAAAAGCCAATAACATACTGACCTGACAAATAAAAGGAAGTTGCTCATGGCAGCAAGCATCCACCCATCCAAACATATTTTCTCCCTTCCCAAGAAGTTTTCCACAAAACCTGCTCTCTAGGTCCACTGGAAATTTTTGATGCCATGATGTGTAGTCCACGTATGGCCCACCGGTCCACAGCCAGTGCGAACAAGTGAAGAGCATACTCCGTTCAAGCCCGATCCACACTCCATTGTGGATTTCTTTTCCCCGCAGCATCTGTGTGATGTACTCTTGCGCTGTGGCATTTAAAATGTGCACCAAAGTCTGGTGGTGAATTCTGCAGTATCCTAGTGCGTCAATCCAGCTTTTTGACTCGTTGATATAGGTAAAGTGATCTGAAATAGACATGAAATTGAATCTCTGTCATTTTATTATGATATATTAATAAGGAAATATTAATATTTTATTCATGGGCTTGACGTTATAACTTTTTTTGTTCACCAGCCACTGTGGAAAATGGTTTTCCAAAATTACTAGCCACTCAGCAGTGTCACTGGCCACAATTCTGACATCGAAATACCATGGAAAACTGCCATATGGATTTTCTTTAATATTACCTCATAATTTGGCAGTAGGTATATTAGGCTGCTCTCACTTTAAGGCTGGCGTTATGCGCCACCATATTTGCCGGGTTGGTGGGTATTAAAGTCAAGCTGTGTTTGTTTCTATAGTAACTGCTAAGTTGAACACGTGTCAAATATGGTAAAACACGTTGCTAGATGTTTAAAAATCGCTGGAAAAATGTTGGGAAATTGGTAAAATTTCACTTACAAGAGACGAAAGAGCTGGTGGAAGAAACAGCAGCTGCAGACTTCACTTCTGTTGTTGAGCTTGTTTTTGCAGTCGTTGAAGATAAATTGTCAACTTTCAAAGACAATAATGATAGATTAGTTTGATTTTTAAAGAAGGACTTGTAATGGTACATGCAATGCCTGGTTCAGACTACAGTACACAATATTTTTATCTTTTACGGTAGTCATTGTGTCAGATTCTGCAATTTTGACTCCTAAATTCTCATTGTGTTGTAGACAAAAACATGTCAAACTAAACGTTGCTTCCAGACCAATCATCACTTGCCATCTTTAACAATGTGTGTGATGTCATCGAGAATACAGAAATAGCAACTGAAGCACCATGTTAGTTTAATGCTAATTCCAGTGCTCACCACATCGCTGTAGCGCCTCTAGTTTGAAGGTGAAGGTGACCGATGTCGTTTACGAATTACCACGACTCCCTCGGGCTGCCAAAATCGTGTGATATTGTGTAGTCTGAACCTGGCATACCTGGCATTTTTATTCATGTTTTTGACTCACATTGGCAGATGACACCAGCATCTTTATGATGATCACAGTTCTGGATGTCCCATCCATTTGATCTACATCTCTTTAGAGTAAGCTCATCCCCATTACAATTTACATTATTCATCCATATTGGTCCTGATCCCTGTCCAAAATAGGCAGCTCTCTTTGCCTGAATCGCATCCCCACAGCCCATCTCTCTACACACCACTCTAGCATCTGACAGATCCCAGCCATCATCACACACTGTTCCCCATGTTCCTTTATGGAGAACCTCCACTCGTCCAGAACAGGAGCCGGAACCATTCTGCAATTGAATTTTGGCTAACAAACAATACATAGTTAGTCTTATTCACATCATAGGACGATCCTGAATATCATTTTAAATATATAAGAATAGCAGTCCACACCTCAACTATAACAATAACGGCACAACGAAACAATATTGTTGGAATCATTTTCTCCTCTCTAATGACGTTTATTGGAGTGAGGGCAGGGCAACCTGTCACTCACATGAGATCGACCAATAGCATCCATAACCCTAATCATCGAGTCATCCTATCAATTCTCCATGGACAAAATCAAGTAATTTTTTCTTGTTTGCAAAGTCGTTTCACTCGGATATACATCACAATATGGAAGAAATCGCAACTTCCATTTCATGCTAACTTTAAAGAGCACTGCAGTGCAGTAAACAGAATGTTATCGTTCTGTAGTTTTCATTATAGCTCTCATTCTTGGTGTGTATGGGCCTTAATAAGACAGGATTTCGTTTTTATTCATTTGTCATTAAAATCAACTGTTAGAAATGCTGCAGTATTATTAAAGTATTAGATATTATAAGACAGTATTATTCACTTACCTCCACAGATAACACCAGCATCTTTTTTATGGATGCAGTTCTGTTGAAATCGTCCACTTAAAACACAGTCCCTCAGTGAAGACTCTGTTCCAATACATCTCACGTTATTAAACCACACAGGTCCTGATCCTTCTCCGAAAAAAGCGCCACTCTTTGCCTCTATCACATTCCCACAGCCCATCTCTCTACACACCACTGCAGCATCTGACAGACCCCAGTCATCATCACACACTGTTCCCCATATTCCATTGTGGCGCACCTCCACTCTTCCAGAACATGGATGACTGCCATTTATAAATAAGACTGAAGCTAAAGCCATGGCAAAAGAAAATGAATGTATTTTTATGTTGATTAAGATGTATTTATTAGACAATGTCATATTAAAATCATTGTTTAAAGTTTAATGACTCACGTTGACAGATGACTCCAGCACCTTTATAATTACTGCAGGAGGCAGTTGCATTTGATCTGCATCTTTTTAAAGTAGATTCACTCCCAGTACATTGTGCATTATTCAACAACATCGGTCCTGATCCCTGGCCAAAGTAAGCATGACTTGCATCTACAACACTCCCACAGCCCAGTTCTTTACACACCACTGCAGCATCTGACAGATCCCAGTCATCATCACACACTGTTCCCCATATTCCATTATAGAAAACCTCCACTCGTCCAGAACAGGAGTTGTCTCCATTCACCAACCTGACAGATACTATCCATACAAACGATATAAAGACTCTAATTAGTTTATTTTGTTAATATTTGCCTTAATATCTTATTTGAAAAGGATCAATCACACATAGTGTTTGGAAGAACAAGATTCTGTGTATCTCTATAGGGTCATTCCTTAAAAAGGAAAACAAACAATATTAAAAGTATAAAAACTGTACACTTAAGTTCAGTGATTGTTTTTGGCTCACCAGTGCAGATGACTCCAGCATCTTTAGAATGTTCACAGTTGTGTGTTCCCCATCCTCTTGTCCTACAGTTCTTTAGTGAGGACTCGGTGCCAGCACAGTTTACATCATCCATCCATATCTGTCCTGATCCCTGTCCAAAATAGGCAGCTCTCTTTGCCTCTATCACATCCCCACAGCCCATCTCTCTACACACCACTGCAGCATCTGACAGACCCCAGCCATCATCACACACTGTTCCCCATATTCCATTATAGAGAACCTCCACTCGTCCAGAACAGGAGTTGTCACCCATTACCAACTTTACAGCTATTATACACATAAATAATAGAAAGACACAAGTCAATTGTAGTTTTTCCGCACATATTTGTTTGCATTCTTTTAAGTGAAAAAGAGCAATGACATATGGCTTTCGAAAGAAAAAGACCTTTAATTCAGGATTTTTTTCTGTTTAACTCTCTTGGGTAATTTCTTAAACAAAGAAAATGTAAAATGTTAAATTTGTGCTGCCTTCAACTATAATTTTTTTTTTTAACTCACAGTTGCAAATGACTCCAGCATCTTCAGAATGTCCACAGTCGTGTGTTCCCCATCCTCTTGTCCTACAGTTCTTTAGTGAGGACTCAGTGCCAGTGCAGTTTACATCATCCATCCATATCTGTCCTGATCCTTGTCCAAAATAAGCAGCTCTCTTTGCCTCTGTCACATTCCCACAGCCCATCTCTCTACACACCACTGCAGCATCTGACAGATCCCAGCCATCATCACACACTGTTCCCCATATTCCATTATAGAGAACCTCCACTCGTCCAGAACAGGAGTTGTCACCCATTACCAACTTTACAGCTATTATACACACAAATAATATAAAGACACAAGTAAATTTTAGTTTTTCTGCACATATTTGTTTGCATTCAATTAATTGAAAAAGAGCAATGACATATGGCTTTCGAAAGAAAAAAGACTTTTGATTCAGGATTTCTTCTATTTAACTCTCTTGGGTAATTTCTTAAACAAAGAATATGTACATTATTAAATTTGTGCTGCTTTGAACTATAAATGTTTTTAACTCACAGTTGCAGATGACTCCAGCATCTTTAGAATGTCCACAGTTGTGTGTTCCCCATCCTCTTGTCCTACAGTTCTTTAGTGAGGACTCAGTGCCAGCACAGTTTACATCATCCATCCATATCTGTCCTGATCCTTCTCCAAAATAAGCATCACTCTTTGCCTCTATCACATTCCCACAGCCCATCTCTCTACACACCACTGCAGCATCTGACAGATCCCAGCCATCATCACACACTGTTCCCCATATTCCATTATAGAGAACCTCCACTCGTCCAGAACAGGAGTTGTCACCCATTACCAACTTTACAGCTATTATACACACAAATAATATAAAGACACAAGTCAATTGTAGTTTTTCCGCACATATTTGTTTGCATTCTTTTAAGTGAAAAAGAGCAATGACATATGGCTTTCGAAAGAAAAAGACCTTTAATTCAGGATTTTTTCTGTTTAACTCTCTTGGGTAATTTCTTAAACAAAGAAAATGTAAAATGTTAAATTTCTGCTGCCTTCAACTATAATTTTTTTTTTAACTCACAGTTGCAAATGACTCCAGCATCTTCAGAATGTCCACAGTCGTGTGTTCCCCATCCTCTTGTCCTACAGTTCTTTATTGAGGACTCAGTGCCAGTGCAGTTTACATCATCCATCCATATCTGTCCTGATCCCTGTCCAAAATAGGCAGCTCTCTTTGCCTCTATCACATTCCCACAGCCCATCTCTCTACACACCACTGCAGCATCTGACAGATCCCAGTCATCATCACACACTGTTCCCCATGTTCCATTATAGAGAACCTCCACTCGTCCAGAACAGGAGTTGTCACCCATTACCAACTTTACAGCTACACACAAATAATATAAAGACACAAGTAAATTTTAATTTTTCCGCACATATTTTTTTTGCATTCAATTAATTGAAAAAGAGCAATGACATATGGCTTTCGAAAGAAAAAAGACTTTTGATTCAGGATTTCTTCTATTTAACTCTCTTGGGTAATTTCTTAAACAAAGAATACATTATTAAATTTGTGCTGCTTTGAACTATAAATGTTTTTAACTCACAGTTGCAGATGACTCCAGCATCTTTAGAATGTCCACAGTCGTGTGTTCCCCATCCTTTCGTCCTACAGTTTTTTAGTGAGGACTCAGTGCCAGCACAGTTTACATCATCCATCCATATCTGTCCTGATCCTTCTCCAAAATAAGCAGCTCTCTTTGCCTCTGTCACATTCCCACAGCCCATCTCTCTACACACCACTGCAGCATCTGACAGACCCCAGTAATCATCACACACTGTTCCCCATGTTCCATTATAGAGAACCTCCACTCGTCCAGAACAGGAGTCAATGCCACCCACCAGTCTGATTTCTTCTGTAGTGGCAATTGTATAACCTATACATGCTATAGAGTCAAAGATCCAAATTATATATTTTTTTCAGTTGCCTATTAAATAGTAAAAAAAAGTATAATGCATTTGTGGAATGCATATTGCTAAACATGTACCATGGACCAAGAATTGTTTCAGTGTGTATCATGAGTTCTCTTACCCAGAAGCAGAAAGAATTGCATAAACCACAGCATATCGTCTAGAAATATAATAGACATGATACGTTATTCATGTTAATCTTCACACAAAACTTGAATTGCTTTGTCCTATTTTCTAAACTGCTTTCTCAATTAATAAGAATATCAGTCTACTGTATTTAATCTATAGCATTTTAATACACATTTTACACTGTCTAGACAAGCAACTGAATGCAAATTATGAGCATAAAATGTGTGGTTTATTCAAACAGACATTAATATGTAACATGATGAGGTTATACTTTATATCGATGGTCCACTTTAGACATTCTACTAAGTAACTTTGAAATTATACAACTAGCAGTCATTAGAGTATTAGTAGATTGTCTGCTTAATATATTCTAACACTTTATATTGATGGTCACCAACAGATATTCTACTGAATTTAGGTATTTTTACATCATGTGAATTTATTCTAACCAGAAACCTAACAATCTATACTCATGATCATTGCACTTAGTTACTTAGTTTGTAGAATGTCTTAAGTGGACCATCGAAATAAAATGTAATCTGATTTTATCCTGTATCAATAATGAGATATTCAGATAATGCTGAATATCAGAAAACATGACATAAAATCCACAAATGAAAATGTTCTAGTAATCTGTCTTAGCTTACACCCTTATAAATAAAGGTTCTTTTTTTTCAAGGGAATGTTACAGTCTAAAAATTATACAACATTTTAAATTTCTGTGTATACTAAATATATTTATGAGACAATTGTCTAAGTATTTCTAATTGTATTGTCATATTGTAATCGAATATACATTACAGCACTGTTTATATTGTCCAAAATAGACACATTTTAACACAACCCCTCTAATCTATAATCTATAAGCATAGCCAGCAATATAAAATAAATCACAAAATTAAAATAATAATAAAAAAAAACAAGTAATTAAATTTACAAACATATAAAATATGATATTATAATACCTGCTAAATGGTTCTCTTCTTCATCTTTGACTGAGCTGGTCTTTTTGGAAAGTGCTGTAGACATGGATATGTTTCATCAGCTGATTAAAAAAAAACAAAACAAATATATTTGTTAAACAAAATTTTACCTAACATGTTTGTTTACCATATAATTCCAAGATACAGCAGTTTGCATGATGTATGGCCTATTTTGTTTAGAAGATAAGATCAAACACTGAGCCTGTGTCTATGGAAGTTTTTTTTTTTTACTTTGGAAAGTCATTAGCATACAGCAGTATTGGGGAAATTATTGACTTCTAAAGTAAACAAACTGCATTTTAATGCTGCTTTTTTTAAAACATATTTGTGACCAAAATCAACAAGTCAAAATATTTGTTTCTGTTTTTTTTGTAAAGTAAAGGAGTACTGCTGTTTACTTACTTTTATTCTTTGGGTGCCATCATTTTATTTCATCACCCAATGAAGAAATGGAGAATCATTATAAGATTTCTTGTTTAATCAGAAAATGTTTTGCCGAAAGCTTTGAAATATCAGTTGTATTTCAGTTGATGGAGCAAAAAAAAGTTGGTGTTGAACATTTATCTTTAAATTAATTGTGAAGAAAGAGAATACATTTAAATGAATGGCACTATATTAAATGTAAATGTGGTGATGTCACCTCCTGAATTTTTATGAATTTTAAATGGTTGTAGAATGCAGTTGTCAATCATCTGTGTGCACAAAAGAGTGTTTGTTGTCAAGCGGAGAATGAGTTGCTTTATAATTTAGAGATAGATGTTTGTTAATGGTCTTAAATATCCACTTCATAAATCAAATGAACCGGTTATTTTTTAGATTTTGAAAAAAATAACAAATATAATACAATTCACAATACAATTCACGGTAACACTTTACAACTGTAAAAAATATTGTTGGTTTAACTTAAAAAATAAGTAACCTGGTTGCCTTAAAATTTTAAGTTCATTGAAATGGAAAAATTGATTTAATACAATGAAGAAGAATGATTTAATCATCAGAAACTCAAAATGTTATGTTATCTGAACTAGGCCTACATAAATTATCATAAATTATTAAGTTGATTTGACAAAAGAAAAAATGTTTTGATTACAAATCAAGAAAATCTTTTTTTTACAGTGGTACTAATACCTGAATTAATAGACCCCTTTTCAGTTGGTAAACATGGTGACGTTTTTTTGTGGGCGGAGCTTAGGTGGAGGCAGAACGATCCCTCTGGCCGCTTCACTAACGCTAGTTAGCATGGTTTGTTGGCTTGTTTTTTAACAATGACTGGAGAAAATCAGATTTTATCTTAATGTGTAAGGTCACTCAGTGTCCAGGACCGCAAATGTTATTTCCAAAAGTTATCTTTAACAGACGGAACCAGATTGGCCGACCTGTAGTAGGTATGTGGACAAAAAATTAAAACTCAACAAATAGACAAATGGATAGCATATGTGGAAAGACCTGGGTACCCCCTTTACAAAAAAAAAAAAAAAAAGGTAATTATGTCAAGTATGAAGAAAGTTACAACATTTTATAGTTCAGTAATCAGCGCCTATTTTTGTCTCATTTCTAAGGTGAAAACAATAGAATTTAGTGTGACCGAAAACAAGTTGTTTTTTCACAAAAATGCTCATAACTTTCTCAATATTCAAGATATCTTAATGAAATTTTCTGTGGAGATGGGTTTCATATAGTTATTTGGATCTAACGTGGGTTTCATATAGTTATTTGGATCAATACTTTATTTTAACACACGTAAAGACTGATTTGGCCTATCTATTATAGTATTTTTGGAGCAGATTTTGAAAATACAAATAATTGAATGGAAAACAACAATTCAAGGAAAATTATATATCCTTAATTTAAAAGATGGATTTTGGTTGATTCATGCTATTTCCAGTTGTGTAAGAACAATACTTAATACTTAATACTTAAAGTTAACAATACTAATGCTGGTGGAGGAAAGAAAGTGGAGGAGACCACACAAATGTTGAGTGTAGCCTACACGGCGCGCTGCATTTTGACAGCTCTTCTACAGGTAACGTTCAGTGGCAGTAGTCATAAAAAAAGAGGGGGAGTTTAAATGGCCACGAAATTTTGTACAGCACACCACAAACATATGTTCTTCATGTCTACCTTCCTCTGGAAAGTGTCCAAAGTGGGTAAAAATAATTTCTTGACAGTTGAATTCTTCCGTATTGTTTGAAATCGCCTTTCAGGAGGAAAATGCAGCCTGACTAGAAAAAATTGAAAACAAATGTGCAGTCGAAAACGCTAATGATGTGATTGGCTAAAAATAATCCAGGATTCCCACAGCAAGTCAATGAAAACAGCGCATTTTAGGAGACCCGCTCAGAGTGATTCGGGAAAATCCGGCACAGAAATTTGGAACACAATGGCGGCCGCTATTTTTTGAAATGTCCACATACCTACCTGTAGCTGCCTACACACTCACTCAATGCATGGATGATCTGACAGGATTTACGTTACGTTACCTTGGTTGAGTGGCCTGACTTCTACACCTACCTTATAGACAAACCGATCGTAAAGAGAAACTGAGGGCATATAAATCTTTAGATGGCTATATGTTCCTGTAAGACTTGTGTGTACGATCCGCAGTTCTGCCGAGCCAGTGCCGAGACGACGACAATGTAAAGAGTGACATTACAGTGTGATTTTAATGATGTGAATATTTTCTAGAAATAAAAGTTCCAGATACAGCATATTCATTTTTCATCAATTCTTGCACCAAACAACACAACAAGATGACATTTAATAATAGTAACTGTAGTGGCGATCGTATCACAAGTTAAAGCCACTTGAGGGAATGTGAAGTCATCTCCAACTCGTTTGAGTGCAATGAATCAGGTCTGCCATGGCATGCGGTTAACACTTTATTTTATTAATAAAATTACTTAAAATCACATTACTGCTTGCATTTCTGATGTAAGTTGAGCTCGTATATGCAAAACAGTAAACACCATGCTAACAACAGGACATGACAAACTCCATCAAACCAATCCACACATGCACGCAAGCACGGTTGAAAAACTGTGTGGCTTCCCCATGTCCTAATTCCCTAACGCCATTCACCTGTGACTTCTTCTTATAGTCTCCGCAATACTGTGATTCCCTGCCTATGCCCCCTGGTGTCCAAGTGTAAGAGCAGCACCCCTATATGACTATTACTAACAAAACACACACGTCAAAATTGGCTACAACACACCGGCCCCTAATTGTTATTCTATAATAACATAACAATTAAACACCATACAAACAATTGGAGCAAATAAAACGTCCTTCATGCACATGTGTGCTTTCAGTTCATAATGTCCATATATACAATACATACATAAGTCCAATACATCAGTCTTTATCCAGCTTCCCGCAGAAGACAAATCTTTGTGACTGGTCTCTCCAGAATGTTGTATTTGGTCTGGATTTTAACAGACCGCACAAGTCCTTGTGAGTCAGGAAATGTCTGCAGTACCTTCCCTAACAACCAGGATCCGCGAGGAGCAGTAGAGTCTGCTACAATGACTATGTCTCCAATGATGAAGCTTCTCTTGTCCTTGGACCACCGTTGTCGTTCCTGTAACAGAGGTAAGTACTCCCGGATCCATCTGTGCCAGAAGAGATCCGATAAAAACTGAACTTGCCTCCACCGTTGTTTCGTGTACAAGTCACTCTTCTCGAAAAGCCCAGGTGGAAGTGCAGGTTTGCCTTTCAACAGAAGGATATGATTTGGGGTCAAGGGTTCCAGATCGTTCGGATCATCTGATACTCTGGTGATGGGACGGTCATTTAATATGGCTTCCACCTCACATAGAAAAGTTTGTAACCCCTCATCATCCACACTTTGCTGATGAAGGACTGAGTTCAGCACCTGTCTGACCATGCGAATGATTCGTTCCCATGTTCCGCCATGATGTGATGCAGCAGGAGTGTTGAAGCTCCATTTCACTCCTGACTGAAGTAATGCCTTTTGAATTTTTTGGTGATTGACAGCAGCCAGAGCCTCTCTCAGTTCACGTTCTGTTCCTACGAAGTTAGTCCCATTGTCTGATCTGATGTGCGATACCTGGCCTCTTCTGGATATAAATCTGTGCAGTGCATTAATACAAGAACTGGTATCTAAGGAATATGCCATTTCCAAATGCACTGCCCTGCTGGCCATACAGGTGAAGATAACACCATAACGTTTTATGAAGCTGCGGCCTCTCTTCACTTCGAAAGGCCCGAAGTAATCAACACCCACATTTGTGAATGGTGGGAGGTCAGGTTGAAGTCTGTCTTTCGGCAAATCTGCCATCTTTTGTTCACCCAGCTTTCCTCTAAAACGTCTACAAATGACGCAGGATGAGAGAATCTTTCTAGCAGCAGCATTTGCGCTGGTGATCCAATACCGCTGACGAAGTCTAGAAAGCAGGTGATTTCTTCCACAATGTCCTAACTGCTCATGAATGTGGCGAAGAATGAGAGTGGAGATATGTTGGTCTTTAGCCAAAATGACTGGATGTTTCATGCCCTCAGGCATTGCTGCTTTACTGAGCCTTCCACCCACTCTCAAGAGCCCGTTTTCGAACATTGGATCAAGTTTATAAATATGGCTGCTTTTCTTTACTCCAGATGTTCCCCCTTTCAAAACCGCTATTTCATCATTAAACTTGTCCAGTTGACAGTATTGAATGATGGCACTTTCAGCAGTGTCGAGATCTTCAGGGGACATGGTTTGACCAGTCAGTGTGGTTCTGAATCTTTGCATCTCCTTTTCCACTTTGCTCTTTAGTTGACTTATGTCGAGTCCAATGCAAGACACAGAAGCTTGTATTTCTTTTCTCTTCCGACTCAACAGCAGCAACATCTTTTTCACTTGTAGAAAGCAAGCAACTGTGGTTTTTAACCTTTTCCATGAAGAGAAATAAGTTATCAACTGGTTTGTTGCATTCTGTGTATCTGTGTTTGTTACATTTAGGACATCTTTAATGACTACAGCGTTTACTGTAGCCTCTCCTTTGACCTCTGGGTCGTCACTGCTGATGGAAACAGAATCTACAATGTTAACAGGCCATTCCCCTTCATTCTTAAGAAGGAAATCTGGGCCGTTGATCCATCTGCTGCTTGTGAGAAGGTACTCAATTTTCACCCCACGTGAAGCCTCATCAGCAGGATTCTGCTTTGTATCAACGTACCTCCATTGTGAGACAGCAGTGGATTCTCTTATTGTGGAGATCCTATTGGCCACAAAGGTGTGAAAACGCTTTGTTTCATTCCTAATGTACTTTAGCACAGTTGTGCTGTCACTCCAAAAGGTTGAATTTTCCAACTCTAGCTGCAGTTCTGTTTTCAACATCCTATCAACTCGAACTGCAAGCACAGCAGCGGTTAGTTCCATCCTTGGGATTGTCACTTTCTTTAATGGAGCAACTCTTGCTTTTCCTAGAATGAATGCAAGATGAATCTTCTTCTTGTCATTCTGCAGCCTCAGGTATGATACTGTACCATAACCATCCTCGCTGGCATCAGAGAAATGATGTAGTTGAGCATTTGTGAGCTGTCCAAAATCTTTGGGCTTGATGCATCTTGGTACGCTAAATGTGCTAAGCTTTCTTAGATCTTCTAGCCACCTCACCCATTGTAGTTGGTAGTTTGGGGAAATGGGATCATCCCAACCACAGCTCAACCTACAAAGATTTTGCAGCATCAACTTGGCAGGTAAGGTAAAGGGAGCTAAAAACCCAATGGGATCGTAAACTGAGCTTATTACAGACAAGATACCTCGTCTTGTCAGTGGTCTTTCCTGAACTGCCATTTTAAACCTGAAGGTGTCAGTTTCTGCACACCATTGCAGTCCAAGTGTTCTCTCGACAGGAAGATTGTCTCTGTCAAGATCCAATTGTTTCACTTCCTTAGCTCTTTTTTCCACATCAATAGATTCCAACACTGACCTGCTGTTGCTAATCCATTTCACCAACTGAAAACCCCCCAACTGGCATACAGTTGTCAGGTGTCTCACCAGGGCCATAGCCTCTGCTTCTGAAGGTAGGGACTTCAAGCAGTCATCCACATAGAAATTGTGCTTGATTGTGTCCGTCACATGTACTGGAAACTTTGCCCTATTGTCCTCAGCAGTTTTTCTTAGGGCGAAAGTAGCACAGCTGGGCGATGATATTGCACCGAGAGATGTTGTGTTAGTTCACCAGTTGGCCACCACAGGAAGCGAAGAAAATCTACATCCTGTTTTGTCACTTTAACTTGATGATACATCGCCTGGATATCAGCCATCACTGCTACAACTTCTTGACGAAACCTTGTCAGAACTCCAAGCAATGAATTCGTCAAATCAGGTCCCTGAAGTAGCTGACTATTGAGCGACATCCCCTTGAAGCTTGCACCGCAGTCAAATACTACCCTCAAGGTTCCCTTTTTTTGGATGGTACACGCCATGATGCGGGATATACCAGACTTTACCTTCTTTTCCTTTCAGCTGATTTTCTGGCACCTTTTCTGCATATCCCTTATTTATGACATCACTGAGAAAGTGAGTATATTCTTCTTTAAAGGTAGCATTTTTCTTAAATTTCCTTTTCAAACAGAGAGCTCTTTGTTCAGCTACCTGACGGTTGTTAAGCACGGTAACATTTTCTTCCCTGAAAGGTAATCTCACGCAGTAATGACCATTGCAGAGTTCAGCTGAACTGTTCATGATTTCCATAAACTTGAGATCTTCTCTGGACATTTCTGGCTTTTCCTCTGTTGATTTCTCATTAAAGTCATGGTTGTATTGCTTCACCAACAATTCCTCTATGTTAGCAATAGATATTCGGTTGACTGTAATGACAGGATCGCTGCTCCCAGTTTCGTTGCCTCCTCTCAGTGGTCCATTGATAACCCACCCCAATAGGGTTCTGACAGCATAGGGTCCTCCATCCTTGCTGTTTACCACTTCCCATGGTTCCATTACTCTTGAAACGTTGGTTCCAATCAACAGCTCCACGTCAGCATTGATGACAGGAATTTCCACTGACTGTAAATGTGGCCAAGCACTTAACTCTTCTTGTCGTGGAATGTTATCATGAGTCACAGGCATCTCATATTGAGTAAATACATCAGGTAATTCAAAGAAAGTGTTACTATTGAGTGCAGATACCTCCAGTCCTGAGATAACTATCGACAAACCTTTCTTGGCTCATGGTTTTCAACAGGATCTTGGCATTCTTTCCCCTCACTTTTAGTTCCCTCATGAGTCGCTCAGAGCAGAAAGTGGCTGTACTGCCGGGATCTAAAAATGCATACGTTTTTAATATCTTACTGCCTTTTACAGCCTTGATTTGTACAGGCACAATTGGCAAAACACAGTCTTGAGCCCCGGCCCCTATATGGCCACAAGTCTTAGGAGAAACTGCATAACTCTTTTCTTGGTGTGTGTTCTCTGATTTAATTTCCTTTTCCTTTGAATGGATGTGGAGGCAGGTAGGATGTTTCAGGTTACACAACTTGCAAGACAGACGTCTATGACAATCTTTGCTCATATGTCCAACAGTCAAACACCCAAAACAAACACCTTTCACCTTTAGAAAATCAATTTTCTCTCGGTGCAGCTTCTTCTCCATTCTGGGGCACAACTCCAATCTGTGACCCTCCTCACACAGCAGGCACGACACCTTAGTTGATTTATCAGTTACATTGTTCTCTTTTTGCACTTGACATGTGTTTCCAGTATTGACAGCTTCCACTGAAGTGGAAGACTTTATGTCCAACGTTATATTTTGGTGGCAAGATGGATGCGTCCTGAATGTTTCCAAAGAGTGGATCAGAGACAATGGATACTTGCCTCTCCACAAAACTGACAATGTCACTGAAACCTGCTTGACGACAGTGCTTCTCCTGCAACTCATAAGCAGTGTTTCTCCACCTTTCCCTCAGTTTATACGGGAGCTTCATGACTATAGCACGCATATTGGATGCCATATTCATCTCTGTCATATAACTAATGTCCTCCATTGCGTTACAACAAACCCGTAGAAACAAAACAAAGGCTTGCAAGCCCTTGACATCTTCTGCTTTCAATGGTGACCATCCCAGAGCTTTCTCCATATAAGCTGTGGCTATACTTTGTTCATTTCCAAAACGTTGCTGAAGAAGTATCTTAGCTCTTTGATACCCCCTTTCAGGTGGCATGTGTTGACAACTCTTGACCAACTCCTTAGGTTGTCCTTTGGTGTACTGCTCTAAAAAGTACAAACAATCTATACTGCTAGCAGTCTTTCTTTCCACTCCATTTTCAAAAGCTCTTATGAATGTGCTATACTCAAGAGGGTCTCCATCAAAGGTTGGTATATCCCTTGGGGGTAATGATAGTGAAGACTGCTGCTGCACTAGTAAGGCAGTTATGTCGTTTTGCCTCTGCATAATAGTAAGAAGATTTTGACTTTCTTGTTCCACATTGTTTTGCACTAAAACATCTCGCTGTATGGACTCCTGTGTGGAAACCATAGCCGTTTCCTGGGTGTGATATGTGGTGTTATTAGTTTGCTGAGATTTTGGAAGCATGCTTGTTTTGTAATGCAAAGCATGCTCTTTTGTTCCATCTTGATGTAAACTGGTGTCCTTACGTCGTGCCCCCATTGACACCATGGCTTTGCTGCTGGCTTTTGGTAGATGATTGAACTGATAGCTTGAATCCCTAGGACATGTCTCCATTGACAAGGTGGTTTTGCTGACTGGTTTTGCTGGTTTTGTAAACCTACAGTGACACTCTTTATTGGTTCATGATTAGTTCATATCTTCACTAATCATGAGTTCATGTTGAAGTAACTATTAATTCAGGTATTAGTCCATGATTATTCATGCCCTGTCATTGTAAAGTGTTACCCAAAATTCGATGTGAAAGAGATGTCAATGAAAACATTAGAAAAAATCATCAAGAGATTTAATTTAATTACCTTGTTAGTGTTTACTAAAGTTTCTCCTTCAACATCATTCTCTGTGTGTGTGTGTGTCTGTGTGTGTGTGCCTGTACGCCTGTGATTTGGACTTAAAGTTTCGCATTGGAATTTGTAAACCCCCTCTTTCTCTTCGTCTGTTTACCTTCAACTACCCGTGCCGTGACACTTCTTTAGCTCATGTCTGACCCACATTGCCTCCTAAAGTCTTATCCATTAGCCTCAAACCTTGACAATACTGACATAACTGATTGGTGATAAAAAGTAATTAAAATATTGACGCAACAAAATATATTTCCTGGGACGCTCAGAGAGTTTGGTTAAGCACTAGTAGAAATGGTGGTGGGAGTTTCCTGGTTACAGAAACTGGAGCAAGAGAGAGAGTGTCCCAACAGAAGGGTTTTATTCGGATTATTTCTGCATATGAATTATTACAGGCTTTTCTCATAGGTAGGTGTGGTCTACAATGAACAGAAAACTAAATACAATATGAATTTGCTAGTATAAACAGTATTACAGATAGCACAAATAATTTAGCTTACGTATCTGAATTATACTGCAGAACATAAACAACTGAACAGACTTGGGTAGCACGCAATTCACACGGAAATATAATTGTTCAAATTACTATTTGAACTAGTACATGTCATGGATAACAGTAACTGAATACACAGAATATAAAAGTTCGAACAGAATGTAAAACAGATAACTTACTTTTTAATCAATCACTCACGGAAGTAATAAACACCAAAGGCATGTGCCTTATCCACTGCGCCATCACCACCCCAGACACCACACCCAAATACATACATTTTGCCTTATATTTATTTATTATATTTAGCTGCAAATAATGACAGTTGTTTATTTTGCGGAATCTGTAAAATAGGCTTTTTATCTCCTGAACATGATGCTCCTCAGTGTTGTGTGAGTCCACAGCAAAGACGTCTGAAGCACTTGCTGTACTGCTGCCTGACCTGGGCAAGAATGAGATGAGAGGAGCTTAGCAAGTTCATTATGAGATCATTTTAACCAGCTAACCATGTTTAACTGTAATAAATAAGCACCTAATAAAAATTAAAATCATGAGAAATAAGAAATGTGCTTACTGCTACAGTAGTGTGACATGATTGAACTCATGACCCAAAATGGAATTTGTTTATAAAAATCTTTGTTTACGTAAGGTCAAACAAAGTGGTTTTGCTTTTGCTTTTGCATCCAAACACACCACGACATGACGACAACACTAACTCACAAAAGCATCCCCTTCTTTCTTTGCATTTGCTTTTGGCCAGGCATTATGCTAATGTTTCACATTGTGACGTAGATGTTTGAGGAAGTAATATCTGGACTTCGATAGAGGGGTTTTAGGCAGGTTTTGAGTTCTTAGATAGAACAAATCTGTTTTTTGGGATCTTTGCAGATCTAACTTTGCAGATCGTATGCACACAAGAAAAGGAAAACCTTAAAAACCAGCAATTGATCCCATTGAGAGAATATATTTGCATTTTCAGAAGTAATTGTTTTGGAGACAGAACGTGAAATGTTTTTTTTTTTCCCTGTGGAGCTGAATGATTCAATGGCTGAACTTATTACTGAGGACAAAATGGAAAACAGCTTGTCTCTGGTCTAAAAAGTTTGAATTTTCAAGCTTGGAGACATTCTGCTATGTCTGTTTTAATTTGTTTGACAGTTGGAGTCTGAAGATTGAAATGGAAGAGCAATTGCAACTTTAATAGTCGCTCGTATTCAGTTTTATTAAATTTATTCAGTAAATTTAATGATGTCTGACCTCATTATTCAGGACACAATAGATCAGGAAGATGAAGGTTCCCTGCTGGGAGTTTAAGATCAGGAATAGGATTTCCAGCTCTTTACTGCCGTTAATGAAGAAACCCAGAATCCAGGAGCAACCAAGAACCACAAACTGAGCCAGTGTTTTAAATGCAATAATCCTGCACAGAAAGAAAATAATGTGTCCCTATTGAATAATATACATTTATATTTTCTCTGAAGTGTTAAATCTGAATGTTTAATACTTGGCTTGTTTCATCTGTGAAATTTCTGCGTTCAGATTTTGGAGAGTTGAGTTCAGTCTGATGATGATGCTGATGAAGAGAATCATGTTCATCTGAAAAGTAAAAAAAGTAAAAAAAAAAAATCAACTTGTTTTCTCTTTAATATAAAATAAAATCACGTGAAATAGAAAATGTGCTTACTGATAGTATGACACTAACAGGACCCAGAAAACTCCAGATAAAACCTTTATCGATTTTAATCCAACAGCTGTTTAGAGAAAAACATAATTACGCCTGTGACATTCTTACAGCTCGTGTAATAATGTATTTTTATCAGATAGCAGAAATGTCACAAGCGTCTTTATTTTCATTACTTAAAAACGTAAAAATAAACTATAGCGACAACAACAACTCACTGTTGGCTGCCGTAGCCTTCCGGAACCAGCCCGACAGACACGCTCACCACAACCAGAGCAACCGTATATCCAATCACACACATGAATCCATTGCTAAGCACCTCCCTCTTTTTGGAGCTGATCCGTGATAGGTTAGTCACGCAGATGAAGAGCAGCACCGCTTCAATGAACATCCACACAAAGCCAGAGAGAAAGAGGAAGTGCAGAACACCTGATATGACAGTACACAGCACCTGGAGAGCATGAGAGGCGGTTATGATGGTTCTCAGTGAGGGTGTGCAGAGCCGTTGGGCTCCTTCATCATTCTCACCTGCTGAGGGCGTATGAGGCTCAGGAACTGTTGTGTGAGCAGGAACAGAAGGTGAGCCAACAGTAGGGTTATGCAAATGTTGACTCGAGCCACATTATTCACTCCAGGACTCCACTGACAGAGGGCAAAGGTCAACAGGGCCAAACTGAAGAACACCAGCCCAACGATCACACACACCAAATTTAACATCTCCAGCAGTGAGTCGCTCTGAGAAAACATTGCAGAGTATGAGTGCCAAATCAGTTCTTGAATGTTGACCATCTAGATTGCATTTGAATTCTATTAGTGCGTTTACTGTTTCAATCTTTGAAGGAGGTTTTTCTGGTGCTGGTTTTTCTGGCGGGTTTAATTGCATTATGAGAGCGAATGTTGACAGATGAACACAGGAACACACTGTGAAACTGCTGTTGGTCTTTAAAACAGAACAACCATCTACAACCCATTCACTGGCATTCCAGTAAACACAGGACAGAGAACCATTGGGGTCGAGCTCCTGCAAAAAAAAAAAAAAAAAAAGAACATGCAGAAAATATTACACCACTGAATATTAGATGTTGTCAGGGTTAGACGAAAACACATTTCAGTCTCTCACTCTGATGTGTTTGAGGGTGAAGTTGACTGGTTTGGTGAGTTCGGTTTTGGTGGTTTTGGGAAGAGTTGCTGAGATCACAGTGGACATCATCGTTTTAGTTGTGTTGTTTGATGTGTTGAAGAAGTCGGGCTTCAATAGATTCTCCATTTTGCTGTAGCTCAAGAAAGCCACAGAGGCTGATTCTGTGCGACAGAAACAGAAGCTTACATACCCTTTGGTAAAACAACTTGAATAAAAATGGTATGACATCTCTTTCTGTGATTATTTTAAAAGTTTAAACAAATTAAAATATTTTGAATACTTTCATCGTTGTTCTTTGCGATCCCAATGAGATCGATCTCCACAGAAGAATTTTTTGTGTCAAGTCGAGGTATTTTGTCTAAGGTGACTTCTGGTCCAACCATGAAGACTTGTCCCTCTGGTTAAAAAAAAATAGAAGCAGTTATGGGCTATATTTATTTATTACAAAATTTTAATGAAAGACCAATTTAGTCATTCAATTTGCACAAATAAATCAAACTAATATTCACTATTGATGGGTCTTCATCTCTGATTGTTTGAACCAAAATGTCCTTAAAATCAAATGCTGTTGTTGATTATTACCATAAACTGCACTGACTTTCTGTTTTTATCATTTGAGTGTTTGTTAAATGTCTTGTGAATGTTGATTACTCGATGCTCAAGGCAGCAAAAATTCACAAAGCAAAAGGATTTTTCAAGATTAGTGTTTTTTAGGACATTTCTACCAAATGACAGATGAATTTGCACCAAGATACTGTCATTTGACTTCAAAAACAAAAGATAATGCCATTTTTGTTCTGTTCTCAGTTACATCTCTGTACAATTATAGTTACTGTATAGCTGCATTAATCGTTGTTGCTGTCTGCCACCTGTGATCCGCCATTGCTCTCTGCTCTATATACAGTGAAGTCCATGAAATCATATAGGCTATAGACGCTTTCATCTGACGCGTTGCCATGGCGATGAGCTGGCCCAAAGTTAACTTCCGTTCTGTTTGTTTATTAGTGTTTACTGGATAATATGGCATTGACCACAAATGCAGTGAAAGTTAAGGTGATGAGCAGTTTGTTGAGCTGTGGGGTGCAACCTGACCTTGGGAGCAAATGCATTTTTTTAAAAATAAAAATGTCAAGATTTCCTAACAAAGAGGGAGACGGTGGTATTAAAATAGCTTTGTTTATCTGAGTGATATCCAGTGTTTCCCATACATTTATTAGTGGCAGCCCACCACAGCGCTGACCGCCACAAATTGATTTCCGTGTTTTTTTACAATTTAAGATGGGAAAAGTTGTATTTGACTACAGAGTTGCGTGCAGCGCATATTCGCACGCTCCCTCCCTCTCTCTCTTTCTCTCGCAAACACATTGACAGCGGACCAGTCTGTGTATTGAATGGTTAGTATCATAAACAACGCTGCACAGATCCATCCAACATGCTGTCCATGTGGAGACCCACCTTAAAAAAAGGTTAGCAAGCATGTAAGAGGCCTATATAAAACCCCGCCGCCGCGCTCGCCACAGTTTTTTAACACTGCGTTAAATCAGACATGTTGGTAGAAAAACCTTCTTGTCTCCAATTTTTGTTCAAAGGGTCTGGTAGTGTCACATTTCAGTTTGGCCAGGTAACATTTATTTTCTTTGACTGGCAAGAAATACCAGCTTCTAAGGTTATTTGTTATGGATTGTCTGCGCAAGTCTGCCGGAAGTTAAGTTTGGGCCAGATTAATGCACATGCGCAGTACCGTTTGTTTATGTTGTCACTGCTGAAAGCGTCTATAATTTGAGATTCATCAATAGTTGTTTCTCCACTCACCTACGGCAGCAAGAGTAAAACTGACATTGTCACTTGTGTTTGTCGGCTTCACCAATGTAGATACGAGGGTCTCACTTGTTTTTAACATGAGGTTTCCATAGGAGGCTAGTTCAGTTTGGTTGGCTGATGATGATGTCTCTAAAATATTCTCTGAAGCATTGAAGGCCATGGTCAAATAGCTGGTTACAGCCTAATTGATTGATACAGATACTATAAATGTCAAGAGAGTCAATAAGACATAACCGTCTATCAATCGACACATATTTGATTATTTTATCCTTTTTTCTATTTAAGACTTACAGCCACAGAAAGCTGCCCTTGCGCTGAAATGTTCTCCATCTGCTTAAGGAAATCATTCAAACATCCTCCCGAGTTCTGACCCTGAAATCACAATTGAGCTTTAAATTCTATAAAACTGACTCTGTGATTTTAATCATGTTTTGCAAACAAAATGTAGTTTGTGCACAGAACCATCCAGAATTAATAGAAAATCAAATATTTTGAATAGGCTATATCTACCATGCAGAAACTCAACTTACATCACACTGTGGTATTATTAAACCTGAAATGACAGAAATAATAGTTTGAATTAATAATTTTTCTTTGCATGCATGGCACATTGACAAATCTATTGCTTGGGCACCCAACTATTCTGACAAAATTCAAAAGCCAGTTCCAGTCCTTCATGTTTGAACCCCATTACGTTAAGAAGCTTGATAAATGCAGATGAGTTCTTTCAACAAAAATAATAACTAATGCGGCCATGATAGTGGTTGGCAGTGGATGAGTTAGAGAGATCAGACTACATTACCAGCAGAGGTTGTCCCTGGTCTGATTGTTGTACCGGTGCTGCCGATGTTAGTAACAGCTGAAAAAATAATGACCAATGAATAAAAAAAAATAATAATTATAATAATGATAATGATGCAGCATACAAAGGGCACATGCAAATATATTTTCCAGCACAGTATGTGAAATAATGGCCACTGTTCAAAATTTCCTGAGTCAGTAGGGCATTGACAAATCTATTGCTTGGGCACCAAACTATTCTGATAAATTCAAAAGCCAGTTCCAGTCCTTCATGTTTGAACCCCATTACGTTCAGTAGCTTGATAAATGCAGATGAGTTCTTTCAACAAAAAAATTCTTCCAACCATGATAGTGGTTGGCAGTGGATGAGCCAGAGCGATCAGACTACATTACCAGCAGAGGTTGTCCCTGGTCTGACTGTTGTACCGGTGCTGCTGATGTTAGTAACAGCTGAAAAAATAATGACCAATGAATAACAAGTAATCAAAAAATTATAATAATGATAATGATGCAGCATACAAAGGGCACATGCAAATATATTTTCCAGCACAGTATGTGAAATAATGGCCACTGTTCAAAATTTCCTGATTCAGTAAGGCGTTGACAAATCTATTGCTTGGGCACCAAACTATTCTGACGATATTCAAAAGACAGTTCCAGTCCTTCTTGTTTGAACCCCATTATGTTAAGAAGCTTGATAAATGCAGATGAGTTCTTTCAACAAAAATAATAACTAATGCGGTCATGATAGTGGTTGGCAGTGGATGAGCCAGAGGGATTAGGCTACATTACCAGCAGAGGTTGTCCCTGGTCTGATTGTTGTACCGGTGCTGCTGATGTTAGTAACAGCTGAAAAAATTATGACCAATGAATAACAATGAATACAAAAAAAATTATAATAATGATAATGATGCAGCATACAAAGGGCACATGCAAATATATTTTCCAGCACAGTATGTGAAATAATGGCCACTGTTCAAAATTCAGTATTCAGTAGGGCATTGAAAAATCTATTGCTTGGGCACCAAACTATTCTGACAAAATTTAAAAGCCAGTTCTAGTCCTTCATGTTTGAACCCCATTACGTTAAGTAGCTTGATAAATGCAGATGAGGTTTTTCAACAAAAATGATAACTTATGCGGCCATGAGTGCATTGTAAAAACTTACAGTAATATTTACTCAATTAAATTGAGTTCCCTGCACTCAAATAAAACTTATTTGGCTTGAATGACCAACACATTCTCACCCCAAGGCGTCACCTTTTGACCATGCTTCAATATTTGACGCTTGGAATGACTGAAACAGAACTCAAACTGAATGAGTTATAGAATATTTCTAGATCCCAGAATGATAATTGAATAATTTTAGTTAAGTTAGGCCCCGTCCACACTACTGCGTTTTTGTTTAAAAACGGAGAATTAAAACGAATACGATCTCCGTCCACACCAGCGTTTTATCTGCGTATTAGAAACGATCTCCGTCCACATTAAAACGACTGAAAACGCGGGTCACGTGACCATTCACCAACACTGGGCATGCGCGTGCCGGTGTAAACAGTGAATGACGAATCAGGGAAGGATACGTCATGACTGATAACACCCAATCATAGAGCCAAGCGTGAGCCTCTGCGTCATCGTTTGTAAACTCCTCCGTTTCGTGTCGTCCACACTAAAACGCCCTCCGGATATTCAAAACGCAAAACGCAGCTGAAGCGTTTCTAAACTTCTCCGTTTTAGGTCTTCGTTTTTCCCATTTTAGTGTGGAAGGGAGGTGCAAACGTAGCAAAAGGTCTCTGTTTTTAAACAAAAACGCAGTAGTGTGGACGGGGCCTTAATCATCAATTAATTGACGATTGATCATTAGTGATGAAGACCTGCTGTTAAAGGGTTAGTTCACCCAAAAATGAAAATTAAGTCATTAATTACTCACCCCCATGCTGTACCAACCCCGTAAGACCTTCGTTCGTCTTCGGAACACAAATGAAGATATTTTTGATTAAATTTGAGAGCTGTATAACTACCGCATTGGCTCCTAAAGGACTGCCTCTTGACGGCCCAGAAAGTCAATGAAGAAAATGTTTAAATATCCCAAGTGACTACCGTGGCTCAACTATATGTTTATCAAGCGACGCGAATACTTTTTGTGCGAAAAAACAAACAAAAATAACGAGTTTATTCGACTATTTCTTTTCTTCCTTGTAGGCCAGAACGAGACTTCCTTAGATTTCCATGACGCATGCGCGAGATTTGCGATCTGCTCACACCAGCTTACACTACTTCAGATCGCAATTCTCGCGCATGCGTCGTGGAAATCTAAGGAAGTCTCGTTCTGGCCTACAAGGAAGAAAAGAAATAGTCGAATAAACTCGTTATTTTTGTTTGTTTTTTCGCACAAAAAGTATTCGCGTCGCTTGATAAACATATAGTTGAGCCACGGTAGTCACTTGGGATATTTAAACATTTTCTTCATTGACTTTCTGGGCCGTCAAGAGGCAGTCCTTTAGGAGCCAATGTGGTAGTTATACAGCTCTCAAATTTAATCAAAAATATCTTCATTTGTGTTCCGAAGACGAACGAAGGTCTTACGGGGTTGGTACAGCATGGGGGTGAGTAATTAATGACTTAATTTTCATTTTTGGGTGAACTAACCCTTTAACAGGCAGAATCACTGAAAGTCAGCCATAACGCGTCAGCATGGTCCCACCCTCTTCCTTAGCCTGTTACAGTATACACACCCCAAACTCTCGCTATAGGTAGAGCTAAAGTTACTGACGGACCTGAGCGGACTGCTCTCAATGTTTTGATGGTGCTTAGGCCAGGGGACTCGATGTTTACCCTTTTGGGGGAGATAAACCCATGAATGGCATACTAATAGTAGTCAATGAAAAATAAACTGGGTCAGAAGAATGTCTTTTAACATAAAAAACCCTTTAAATTCTTTGAATATTTTGACTCACATTGGCAGATGACTCCAGAATGTTGTTGGTGGCTACAGTTGTTTACTCCCCATCCACTTGATGAACAATTTTTCAGTGCAGATTCATTGCCAGCACATTGAACATCATCCATCCATATTGGCCCTGATCCTTGTCCAAAATAAGGACCTCTTTTAGCTTCTATCACATCCCCACATCCCATCTCTCTACACACCACTGCAGCATCTGACAGATCCCAGCCATCATCACACACTGTTCCCCATATTCCATTATAGAGAACCTCCACTCGTCCAGAACAGGAGTCACTGCCATTTACCAACCTAATAAAGGCTAAAATAAAAAAGAGCAAAGGGATCAGAAATTTGTATCTTTATTAAGTAAATGCAATATTTATGTAGCTTTCATCCACCTTCACAGATGACTCCAGCGTCTTCATGATGTCCACAGTTGTGTGTTCCCCATCCTCTCGTCCTACAGTTCTTTAGTGAGGACTCAGTGCCAGCACAGTTTACATCATCCATCCATATCTGTCCTGATCCCTGTCCAAAATAAGCAGCACTCTTTGCCTCTATTACACTCCCACAGCCCATCTCTCTACACACCACTGCAGCATCTGACAGATCCCAGCCATCATCACACACTGTTCCCCATATTCCATTGTGGCGCACCTCCACTCGTCCAGAACAGGAGTTGTCACCCGTTACCAACTTTACAGCTATTATACACACAAATAATAGAAAGTCAGAAGTGAATTTTGGTTTTTCCGCAAATATTTGTTTGCATTCTTTTAATTGAAAAGAGCAATGACTCATGGCATTTGAAAAAAAAAAACCTTTAATGAAGGATTTCTTCTATTTAACTCTTTTGGATAATTTCTTAAACAAAGAAAATTTACAATATTAAATTTGTGCTGCCTTCAACTATAAATGTTTTTAACTCACAGTTGCAAATGACTCCAGCGTCTTCATGATGTCCACAGTCGTGTGTTCCCCATCCTCTTGTCCTACAGTTCTTTAGTGAGGACTCAGTGCCAGCACAGTTTACATCATCCATCCATATCTGTCCTGATCCTTGTCCAAAATAAGCAGCTCTCTTTGCCTCTATCACATTCCCACAGCCCATCTCTCTACACACCACTGCAGCATCTGACAGATCCCAGTCATCATCACACACTGTTCCCCATGTTCCATTATAGAGAACCTCCACTCGTCCAGAACAGGAGTTGTCACCCATTACCAACCTTACAGCTATTATACACACAAATAATAGAAAGACACAAGTAAATTTGAGTTTTTCCGCACATATTTGTTTGCATTCTTTTAATTGAAAAAGAGCAATGACAAATTATTCCATTTGAAAAAAAAAAGACCTTTAATTCATGATTTCTTCTATTTAACTCTCTTGGGTAATTTCTTTAACAAAGAAAATGTACAATATTAAATTTCTGCTGCCTTCAACTATAAATGTTTTTAACTCACAGTTGCAAATGACTCCAGCATCTTTAGAATGTGTACAGTTGTGTGTTTCCCATCCTCTTGTCGTACAGTTCTTTAGTGAGGACTCAGTGCCAGCACAGTTTACATCATCCATCCATATCTGTCCTGATCCTTGTCCAAAATAAGCAAAACTCTTTGCCTCTATTACATCCCCACAGCCCATCTCTCTACACACCACTGCAGCATCTGACAGATCCCAGCCATTATCACACACTGTTCCCCATATTCCATTATAGAGAACCTCCACTCGTCCAGAACAGGAGTTGTCACCCATTACCAACCTTACAGCTATTATACACACAAATAATAGAAAGTCACACGTAAATTTAGTTTTTTCTGCAAATATTTGTTTGCATTCTTTTAATTGAAAAGAGCAATGACTCATGGCATTTGAAAAAAAAAGACCTTTAATGAAGGATTTCTTCTATTTAACTCTTTTTTTATAATTTCTTAAACAAAGAAAATTTACAATATTAAATTTGTGCTGCCTTCAACTATAAATGTTTTTAACTCACAGTTGCAAATGACTCCAGCGTCTTCATGATGTCCACAGTCGTGTGTTCCCCATCCTCTTGTCCTACAGTTCTTTAGTGAGGACTCAGTGCCAGTGCAGTTTACATCATCCATCCATATCTGTCCTGATCCCTGTCCAAAATAAGCAGCTCTCTTTGCCTCTATCACATTCCCACAGCCCATCTCTCTACACACCACTGCAGCATCTGACAGATCCCAGCCATCATCACACACTGTTCCCCATATTCCATTATAGAGAACCTCCACTCGTCCAGAACAGGAGTTGTCATCCATTACCAACCTTACAGCTATTATACACACAAATAATAGAAAGACACAAGTAAATTTGAGTTTTTCCGCACATATTTGTTTGCATTCTTTTAATTGAAAAAGAACAATTTCATATTATGGCTCTTGAAAGAAAAAAAAACTTTAATTCAGGATTTCTTCTATTTAACTCTCTTGGGTAATTTCTTAAATAAATAAAATGTACGATATTAAATTTGTGCTGCTTTCAACTATAGATGTTTTTAACTCACAGCTGCAGATGACTCCAGCATCTTCATGATGTCCACAGTTGTGTGTTCCCCATCCACTTTTTGTACAGTTCTTTAGTGAGGACTCAGTGCCGGTGCAGTTTACATCATCCATCCATATCTGTCCTGATCCTTGTCCAAAATAAGCCACACTCTTTGCCTCTATCACATCCCCACATCCCATCTCTCTACACACCACTGCAGCATCTGACAGATCCCAGCCATCATCACACACTGTTCCCCATATTCCATTATAGAGAACCTCCACTCGTCCAGAACAGGAGTCACTGCCATTCACTAGTCTGATGTCACTGCCAATAGTGACTGTTGTGCAGCCTGTGCATGTTAGAGTCACAAATGCAGATTAATTTTTCTATAAGCTTGTAAATCAGAAAATATTATTGGTCATCAGACTAATAATATTTTGAGTGCATGAGGCTATGTTTTTAATGTCAGTATATTGGTCTCCTTACCCAGAAGCAGAAAGAGTTGCACAGACCACATCATATTGGCTGTAAATATATATTTCATATTAGATACTGTGGTTCTTAAATATCAGCATGAATGAAAGCATGAAAGAAGCATCTTCTAGCAATAAAAATAATGTATCACACAAACGCAATGTTTGCATAAACATTTTTAGTTACATTTTATTTTAAAGTTTCCTTGTTACAGTGTAATTATACATTTAAGTACTGCATAATATTAATTATCAACATGTACTTATAGGGTTAACGGAGCAAGCACATAACGTAACAAAGACACTGTAAAATATAGTGTCATCAATCTTTTTTTTTTATTATTTCATACGATGGGCAATAATTATGTAAAATTACTCTAAAACATCACAAGACTGTCAGCGTACATGTAAGACAAAAAAAATATTATTAAAATGATATTTGAAACAGCCCATCACATGAATGCAAAAACACATAGAAAACACTGATGATATGGTATACCTGGTTAGATGGTCGTCTGTGATTTCCTCTTCCTTTTCCTAGGATTGAGTTAGTCTGTTAGTCTGAAAAGTGATGTGGACGTTTGACAGTTGTACTTGACTCACTGTCATCCAAACAGATTCATATGAAATTACATTTAATTGTGTGCATCTTTATTCTTACCCCAGTAAATAACACTGGTATCAAAATTTGATTAACAAAACATCTAGGAATTCATACAGGAATATGCAAAAGTCTGTGGGATGTAATTTGTTTCTAGGCATATAATACGAGCTTATTAATTTACAGACTCTGAACTTTTTGGCTTGCTTTGTGGGCGTGTTTTTAACACTCAAGTGAATGGGATCATTTCCCAATACCTGAAATGTGAATGAACTGTTTTTGTTGCATCTAATGGGTAAACTTCTTCAACTATTCCAGTTCAGTCCTTTGTCTCATGCATATGAAGTTCTCTGGTATGATGGGTTGACCAGGGTGTCCATGGAAATACAAACAAATCAAGGGTTTCAGTAGTCAAGAATTTTGACACGTTGTTTTCATATGCTTTGCATGTCTTTCTAAAGGAAATTCCATGAAACTGGCCCATCAAAATGACATCTTCAAGGTATTTTTATATTTGAGCATTCCACTATTTCCCACGTTTGAGTGCATTCACTCGTGGCTAATTGAATCAACCACCTCCTGAGCATTTAATAGTTCTCAGTGACTCTGAAAGACGGACTGTTATTAGAGCTTTCTTTCTTATGCTCATCATTGTCATGTAGTGTCATCTTAAGGGAGGAGTCGAGAAGGCAAGGTGATTCCACATACAAATACAATCACCTGGAAACATCCTTAACTTGATCTCACACCATCACGGAGACGAAGACACTTCTGAAAGGTCTGACATAACAGGTTACAGACATCTAATAATAATTGCCTTTTTATTAGATGCTGACAGTTGTTGTACTTAAAGTTGATTTAATGTGCCTCAAATGTTTTTTGCCCCTTAATCTTTTTTGTAATACTAAATTATTCAACTGGCTGTAAATTGAATTCTGCTATTAAGATGCTAAACCAAAACATTAAAAAAAACGTTTGTTGCCTAAAAAATAAATGTGATTTTTTTTTTTTTTTTTGCAAAAGTATTTTTTTTTTTGTGGCAGAAACTACTTTTAAACAATAGAACAGGTCCTTGAAGTTGACTTTTTCTTGTTTATAGGACAAAACAGTCAAATTATTAATTTTGTATTTCTTTCAGGCACAATGTTACAATCCTTGTGGCTCATTCTCATGCTGGGTAAGAAACATGCAGACTCTAATCCCTCTTTGTATAAAGTTAAAATAAAGTTGTCAAAAAACACCATTCTTTACTTTAAAACTTTTGTAATTCATTGTGAAATTGCAATGTCAAAGTGAATTGTTTCTGCACCACATTTTTTTTTTTCAGGAAAGATTTAAATGATTGTTATGGGTTTGTGTGATGCATTTTATAATTCATCCAGATTTCGGAAATGGACCTTCAGTCGAAGCTTTTCTGAGGTTGATGAATGGTATCGACTCCTGTTCTGGACGAGTGGAGGTTCTCTATAATGGAATATGGGGAACAGTGTGTGATGATGACTGGGATCTGAGAGATGCTGCAGTGGTGTGTAGAGAGATGGGCTGTGGGAATGTAATAGAGGCAAAGAGTTTTGCTTATTTTGGACAGGGATCAGGACAGATATGGATGGATGATGTAAACTGTGCTGGCACCGAGTCCTCACTAAAGAACTGTACAACAATTGGATGGGGAACACACAACTGTGGACATCATGAAGACGCTGGAGTCATCTGTGAAGGTGGATGAAAGCTACACAAATATTGCATTTACTGAATAAAGATAAACATTTCTGATCCCTTTACTCTTTTTTATTAGCCATTATTAGGTTGGTAAATGGCAGTGACTCCTGTTCTGGACGAGTGGAGGTTCTCTATAATGGAACATGGGGAACCGTGTGTGATGACGGCTGGGATCTGTCAGATGCTGCAGTGGTGTGTAAAGAACTGGACTGTGGGAGTGTGATAGAGGCAAAAAGTGCTGCTTATTTTGGACAAGGTTTAGGACCTGTATGGATAAGTGATGCACAATGTACTGGGATTGAGGCCTCATTGATGAACTGTACATCAACAAGATGGGGAATACAGACCTGTGGACATTTAAAAGATGCTGGAGCCACTTGTAATAGTGAGTAAAAAAGCTCAAACAGTGACAGTGTTATTGCATATATTTAGTGTTTTATATAAAAGCTCGATGTTAAACAAAAATAAGCAATTCTTGGATGATAAATTGCATTTACAAAGAGGTTTTGACTTTTAGAAAATAAATTAATTGGTGCATTCTGTTGTCTATAAGAGTGCAAGGGTTTATGTGTAAAACCTTTCTTTCAACAGATGTGAAGCTGGTGAATGGTGTCAGTGAATGTGACGGAAGAGTTCAGATTCGCCATCGTGAGCAGTGGGGAGCAGTGTGTTACACTGGTTGGGATCTACAAGATGCTACAGTGTTGTGTCAAGAGCTGGACTGTGGAGAGATTGCAGAGCCAAAGGCGTATGTGGGTCCCTCAGTCGAGAAAACATTGATGAATAATGTTATCTGTACGGGAAATGAGCGGAGTGTGAGGGACTGTCCTTTTACTGAATGGGATGTGGGCAGTTGTTTGGATACGCTTCATGCGGGAGTTTTTTGCCAAAGTAAGATCATCTTACATGTGAACTTCCTCAAACGATATAGATTAAAGTCACCATGAACTTAAAATGGAAGTCCTAATTTTAACTGAATATCGCAGAATCTATTATAAATAGTTTAACAGTGTACATCGTTATTATTATTTTTTTAATGTGCCCTCAAAATTCTCTGGTAATGTGTTTACTGGCGTGAGGGCGGGACAGCCTGTCACTCATCGACCAATAACAAACCAGAACCATACAAATCAATTCCCATATGACAAAATGAAGTGCAGCTCCATATTTTTTCTTGTTTGAGAAGCCATTTCACTCATACTGCATATATGTCTAACTACTTTCGTCTTTCGCGAAACTTTATTAGGTCATTTACCTCTCACGTTCTCTTGTGTTTTCCTGGCAAATGCAATGAAAAGATGCCATAATGACACACCGTTCATCTTTTAAAGCCCCCGTCAATGTTTTACTTCACAGAAACTGTGAAACGAGTTGTGGTGAGGATTATGGTGAAGGCCAAGGTTGAATTCAATGTCAATGACCCACAAATCAAGAAGGATCTTTTGGACAAGGTGAGATGTGCTTAATAAGTGTGATGTGTAACTTGAGTGTTTTCTTACTAAGATTTCACCGCATTTCACAGATAAGGAAAGTGGTGCAAATGACAGGGAAGTATAGTGTGAACTGGAGAACACAGTCTGATGGGCAGGTATTTCAGAAACAGAAAACAGCCACAGGTATGTAAACTGAATGATGTTGCACTGCTTATTTATGTAATATTATATAATTGAGATTGTAATTATATATCTGTTATATTCACAGGACCTTTTTGAAAGACAGAAAAGCATGAAAACACAGACTCTAACCCTAATTATGATAAAGTAGTGCTATTTTCTCTGTTGCTTCCCTGTCTTATTATCAAAAGTCATAAAAAATGTGGTAGGTGGGGCTCAAGTAACATCAAGTGCTAGTCAGTCAAATCAGACCTTCCCACATAATTTGCCTGAGAAAGAAATGCCTTATGAAAGTGCTGACTTATATTTACAGCTCTTTCAAACATTAGAATAATGAATATTATATTATGTGGAAATGAAATGTGTATATAATGTGCGGTTGCTTCCTGGTGTCAGAGAGACCAAAGTGAAAAAAAAGTAGAAGATTTTAACATTTATTTACGAGAATTGTACTTTCTGTGACACGATTAATCGATTTTAGATACATTTATTTAATAAGATGTAACACAATATAAATTAATACATATTACAGAATTTAAATATTTTAGGTTATGTTAGGTTGTGCTGTAAAATACATTGCATCAGAAATCAAATAAACATGAACTTGTACAGAAAATCAAAGTTTTACATTTTTATTTTCCTTTCACCTCCAACCAATGACAATGGCCTTCAAAATGATGTCAAAACTTCACTGACTTTGACCTGCTGCAACCTAAACAATGATGTTCTTTATATTATCCTTGACAGTTTACAAACTCTTCTAAAATGTCTTCATCGTCTGGATGATTCTGCAAGAACTGCTGTTCTCTTGAATTGGTCATGAAAGGTAATTTCTTAAGCGGCTCCTGTGGAAATAACAGATACGAAAACTTGTTACTATTTGAATAAAAATGATGTATTCAAGTTACATCTTTAAAATCATTCAGAAGGAGTTTACAAACCTGTCAGGGATCAAATAATTTCTTTTCCTGAAACACTTGCCCATTCGGCTGAGTTCTCCACTGGACAGAGAAATTTCCATTCTTTTTGACCTCATTTTTAATCTGCACAATTCAGACGAACGAGACCACAGACTCTCAATGGCAACAATAGAAAAGTGAAAGAAAAGAAAAGCTAATTGAATTAGGAAAATTCATTACTTTGTCTAGTAGTTTTGTCAGTTGTGAAGGATCATTGGGATTAACAGAGTCAGCGTTCACCTTTATCCGGAGCACATTTCTAATCTCTGTAAAAAAGATAGCAGATCTTAATATGGTATTATGCTCATTCCCCAAGATAACTGAACCGTGCATTTCTTTTCAGAATGTGGTTTTATGTTTGTTGTTATTTCATGTTATTTCATGTTATTATGTCATATGGTTTAAGTGAATCATTTTATGTTTAATATAGGCATTTTCTTAGTTAATATTTGCAAATTCAGAGACCAGATTCTGCTTTGGTCATGGACGCACCTTTGCAAATGATTCCTGCATCATATGCATGAATACATTGATGGTTTCCCCACCCACCAAATTGACAGTTCCTGAGGTTTGACTCGTCTCCTCTGCATCTGAGGGAATCCATCCATATCGGCCCCGTGCCGGCCCCAAAATGGGCATTTGGCAAGGGCTGTACGTTTCCACCACAGCCCAGCTCTCTACATAGTACTAAACCATCTGCGATATCCCAGCTGTTGTGGCACACTGTTCCCCACTGGCCGTCATGAAACACCTCCACTGTGCCCTGACAGGAGTTGTTCCCGTTCACCAACCTGACCTCTAGAAATAAGTCAGAAGAGTCCCTGATCTGTCTCTGTGTTAATAACAGCTGTGTTAATGTCCATCTGACCATGATAAGTCAATGCATTTGGGTAAGACTTTATTTCACATAGTTACTAATAATTATGGGCAACTAAACCTGAACCACAGCCTAATCTTGAAATCAAGTTATGTCATCCTGAAACAATATGCTGTTAAGTATTATTGCTCAGTACCTAAACACTGTAACATCACCTTAAGATAAGTGTTACCTGTATTTGTAACATAATTTAACACAGTTTTTTCGCTAATACTTTATTTTGATGGCCCTCTTTACACATTTTGTTGACTATAATTGTGATTTTTGAACAGTAAATAGACACCTAATTAATGTTATAAAATGGTGATCTGGCTTTTCACAGACTATGATGATGCAGTTCCAGTTCTTAACATTGTAAAATAAAAATCTATGTACATTTATAACACTATACTTTGCGCTTAATTGCCTTAGCATTAAATTATGGAAAACTGGTGAGTGTTTCTAATAAAATGGGTGAGAGTTTTTGTTCACCACTATTAAAATGTATCCAACTATGATGACTTCAGCTTCTGAAATGTGAAAAGGGCCCACACATGGGTATATATTTTGGAAACGTATACATGTTTAAAAAATCAAATAATTAAAAAAGTAAGAAAATGCAGTCAGAAAGTTCTTAGGCATCTAGTTTACCTCGGCAGATGACACCTGCATCCTGCTTGTGCTCACAGTTGTGTTTTCCCCATTGATTTGATGGACAGTGCTTCACTGAGTCCTCCTTGCCTGAACATCTCACATCATCAATCCATATTGGTCCTACACCACTTCCGAAATAACCATCTGTCTTTACCTCTATCGGACTTCCACAGCCCAGCTCTCTACAGACAACCTGAGCGTGATTCATATCCCATATGTCTCCACAAACAGTTCCCCACTGATTGTCTATAAGAACCTCCACCCTTCCAGAACAACTGCTGCCTCCATCTGCCAATCTCACTTCTGGAAGACCGAGTAAGTACACATCTCAGATAACATACAAATATATACTGTTTACATTTTATATTTTATACATTTCAGGTCAGAGCTGGTTGTCACTTGTTTAAATGTACAATTTATAAATTATTTAATTAATAATATGATGGCCAAAACACATTTTCCATGTTTGCTTTGTTTAAATTGGTTAAAAATGATGCATTAGGTTCCCATTGTGAACAGCTATTGTGACACAAAAGGTTCAAAACGGACCCTTTTCACTGTGATGGTGTGTTTACAGGGTTATTAACACTGTATATCTAGCAAAAGTGGAAGTTTTTTATATTTTCCTTTAAAACCATTTTACTAACTTGGCATTACCAGTCAAATGGTTTCAGCGGATTTCTCTTTTCTGACCAAGATAATACTTTTTTATCCTCTTTTAGAAAGTCAGAGAAAAGCTATATGTTGTACTTTCCATTCGCCAAAATAGAATTTTACCCAACTATGATGACTTCTGCTTCTGAAGAACTACAGAAATGTGAAAATGTCCATAAGCTTTTAGTCAAGACTAAAGTTTAGAGTCAGAATCAAACCCACGCTGAGAGGGAAAAAAGTGACAACTAGCGCTGAAATGGTCAAACATGGTCTTATTTTTTCTTGTACAAATAAATAAAGCATAAATAAGCACATTTGTTCAATTCAAACCCCTTCTTGATTGAATTTACCTCCGCAGGCGACTCCTGCATCCTCAGAATGTGTACAGAGGCTGTTTACCGAGGCAGCGCACTCCTTCAGTGAGGACTCACTCCCGCTACACGCTAAACTATCCATCAATATGTTACCTGAACCGATCCCGAAATAAGCTCCAGGGTATGTCTGTATAAGAGGACCACAGCCAAGCTCTCGACACAGCACAAGACCGTCCAGTAAATCCCAATTGGTATGACAAACTGTGCCCCAATCTCCACTATAACGAACCTGTACTGTGCCACGACAAACGTTTAGGCCGTTTACCAGTTTGACCTCTGAAAGGAGAATAATTCAGATGAATTTGACATGCAATCTTGACGTAATAATTGTAGTTCCCAGAGTTTGTCGTTCACACTTACCTCTGCAGACGACTCCTGCGTCATCGTTGTGTGTAAACTTTCTATTCGTGTTTATCCCTGAAATACATTTTTTCAGAGAGGGTTCAGTCCCAGCACAATTGGTATCATACATCCATATACTACCTGAACCCTTCTTAAAAAAGGATCCAGCCGCGACACTCAGCGCACTCCCACAAGAGGCCTGTTTGCAGATCACATCTCCGCCCAACAGATTCCAGCCGTAGTTGTTAACAGTTCCCCACCCTTGACCATCATAGAGGACCTCCACCCTCCCGGAGCAAGTGTTTTCTCCATCCATAAGCATAACCTCTAAAGAAGAGACGGGGGGACGCATGTGAGAAAAATGCACTATCAGCAGTAGCAATGTGTACTCAAAAAAATCTGTTAGAAATGAGATTGAAAAGCCTTCACTTCATTTGATCCAAATGAGCTTGATCAGAATGATTGGGGTGGTGAATACCTGAAATAATCTGATCAATAGGAAATACCTTTGATTGAATATGATATTCTATTTCAGATTCTAAAATACCGTAAGCACACGTTTACCAGATTATTTTTTATGAGATCGTTGCTTATGAATGTCCAATTGTTTATGTACTTCGAACTGCTCAGTGGAGACTACTTCTAATATATTTTGTCAGAATTTGCAGCTAACACTAACCTCATGAGTTCATGAGTATGCTCTTATCTCGTTAGTTGATTCATTGAACATGCTCCTCCCGTGTTAATCAGGGTAATTATCTAAATGTGCCCCAAAAACCATTATTTGTGTGAACAGGACATTTCCAGACTCACACCTGTAAGTATGCGTTTGTCAATCCCCAAAACTGACAAGTGTGAACGTAGCATTGGATTGACAAAAAATAGTGCATGTAATCATAAAGTGCTTTAATTTCAGATTCAAGTGGGCGTACCTACCTGAACAGGTGAGTCCAGCATCATCCGCATGTGTACAGGTACTGACTCCCCAACCGCTAAACACACAATCTTTCAGTGAAGTTTCTCTGCCCCTGCAGGCGATGCCATCCATCCATACTTTACCCGACCCCTGTTTGAAAAAAGCATTGTTGTATAAAGCCACTGGTTTTCCACAGCCACGTTCTGCGCACGCCACCAATGCGTCCATGAGATCCCAGTGGGTGTCACAGACCGTTCCCCACTCTCTGTTGTGGAAAACCTCCACTCTCCCTGAACACATGCCACTGCCATCTCGAAACTTTATGGTGGCTGTGGAAATGAAAATGAAATGTTATGCCAGTTCTTTCACTTTTTTTGTTGGCAACTTTAACGTCTATGGAACCTTTCCAATGCACAAAATGTTCTTTAATATTGGAAATTGGCATCAATGGAACCTTTAACATCTATTGAACCTTTCCATTACACTAAATGTTCTTTTAATCTTTAATAATTTTAAATATTCTCCACATGAAAGGTTCTTTAGGGGACCCAAAATGGTTCTCCTTTTGCATCGCCTTTGAAATCTCCCTTTTGGTACCTTTATTTTTAGGAGTGTTGGAATGATATATTATTTAGACAATAACGTGAATGTCACCTACAGTCACAGACAACTCCAGCGTCTTTCGTGTGGTCACACGCATCGGTGTGGTTATCCCAATCGCAATCGAGCACCGAGCTCTCATTCCCGAAACAGTTCAGGTCGTCTGTGAGTATTGGTCCCGAACCCTCGCCATACAAATCACCAGAGTGTATGGATATGAGAGGACCACAACCTGCTTCCATGCAGATCATTTGGCCTTCGACTTCATCCAGCCCTTCGTAACAAATGGTGCCCCAGTTGTCCCTATAAATCTCAACCCTTCCAGAACAGCCCTTAACACCATTCACCAACTTCACCACAGCGCCACTAGTTGTACTGGTTAAACTGGATGTACTGACTGCTGCATTTTCTACGTAGTCTGATTGAAAAATACAAAAAGTTTAGGGGAATCACATACACAATGTGTATTAATTATTAAATAGAAGCATTTGCACGCGTATATGCGTGTGTCTCACCGAGAAGCAAAACGAAGCTTAGAAAGTACAGCATTGTGACTGAAAAGAGACAAAATTTATTGTGCCAATCAGCAGCAAAACAAGACAAACATTTTTTATGACAATAGTTCAATTCGAATTTCTTACAACTACTGTAGTATATCATATCAAATATTAATTTAATTTGATTATTAAATTATAAAACATTATATTAAATGATTCCTCACAATATATGCCCCTTCATGTTAAAAAGAGACCTGCAAATCATGGGGTTATTTTTAAATATCAAAGTCATTCAACAACAAACTGACAGTACCACAAAACGAAGCTTGAAAAAAAATGATGTTCAACAAACAATCACTGCAAATAAACAAAAAGAAAATAAGTAAGGCATACAAACCTTCGGATGTCACTCGTCTGGTGCTCAGAGGATGACTGAACATTTGTTTAGAGGTGTAAGAGAGCTTTGTGAACAGAAAGCAGCATATGAAGCAACTTGAGCCTCCTTCACAGACGACAGTACAGTAAGCAAATATGCTCAAAATAACACACACAATGCATGCCAGAGAGGAGCCAATCTCCATGTTGCCAGTTGACGACTCTGAGGAAGGCATGTTAATTGAAGTTAACTATGTGAAGGGGGGTGCAAAAGTGTTTTTTAATTGTACATATTACAAACTACTCCAACCACTGAACATGAACACAATGCAACAGAGTAAACAACAAGGAATTTTTTTTTAAATGCTAAAACGCATATCATTGGTTCTGATAATTTCTTGCCACGCGTCTTATGAGCAGGACAGCCATTTGGCAGTCAAATCTTGATTTAACTATTCAAATAGGGCAAGAAAAGCCAAGAAAGCTTGCAAACGTGCTCTTTGGTGTTACAAGACAATGCAAATAAGCATCTTTAAAAAAAAACTCCAGGCTGGAAACGTGTTTTCTTATATAACAGAACTAAACCTGGACATTCAGGTTAAAAGACACTTCAATATTACACCCATTTTAATATTGCAGTTTTTTTCAAATGCTTACACACAAAATCCTTACTTATCACACTGAAACCTGACACTAGAAACATCAGAATCACACAACAAATCTGCAAAACCTTTTAGTAATTCTCTGCCTTCGACTTTTCGACTACACTCAGCTAGGACCCCTGAGTCCGTAGCGCCAAGCGCCATCCCATAATTCCACCGTCCACGAACCCACTATTTTTATAACGGCATAAATGCTACGTGGGATGTCCATATCTCAGCTCTGGAAGGGTCTAGAGACTCCATTTTTTCACTCAGGTCTAAGTCTCATGGCCCTCTATCAGTATCCAGAGTTTCGAGAAGAATGGAGAAACTCAAAATTTCGACCCGAAAAAAAACGACAGGGGTACCCCTTGTCGACTTTTTCGGTGCAAAAAAAAGTTTCTCTGATCTTCTCGAAACTCTGGATTCTGATAGAGGGCCATGAGACTTAGACCTGAGTGAAAAAATGGAGTCTCTAGACCCTTCCAGAGCTGAGATATGGACATCCCACGTAGCATTTATGCCATTATAAAAATAGTGGGTTCGCGGACGGTGGAATTTTGGGATAGCGCTTGGTGCTACGGATCCCGGGGTTCCTGCTGAGTGCAGTAAAATAGTTTTTATCATGACAGGAACTTTAGTTAAAATGTCTATCAAATATACTACCTGAAACCCCATTAAAAGTGCATCTATCCATCATAAAAGTGCATCTATCCATAAAAAATATATTAATATAAAATATTTAAAATATTCATATTTAAGTTGCGCTTTAAATTTAAGTGAAATCCATATGTTATTTTGGACTGAAGTTATTTTACTTTAGAAAGTTTTAAATATGGATATTTTTCTTACATCTCCATCTTCCTCATTACTCCACATAAAGTCAACATGTTAGTTAACAAGTCAACAGCTATATGTTCAAGCACTGTATATTCTGCACATGAAAAAGTTTCAAAAATTTATCGGTACTGTGATATATATATATATATTTTTTATAAAAGAAATTTCAATCAGCATTACTGAAAATGTGACTTTAGTAACAGGCTTTCAAACACATTTAAAAAAATCCTGATTTAAACGTGCAATTCTACAGTCGATTTTCAACTTTAATTAATAAGTTCAATCTTACTATTTTACATACAAACTATGAAATACTGGCAAAAATATATACAAAATGTAAAATGTTGCTTGCTTCTGTGTTTGGAGTGAAGTGCTGCCATGCTTCTCTTCAATGTAGAGTTTTTTTATATAATTACTACATGCAGAGCTTTACTGGCATTTGATTGGATGACAAACGTCCAATCTCATGGACTTCAGGCTTTAAACTAGGTGAAATGCTCCAGAAGTTAAAAAAAAGGGGGCTGACATGTGATGTCCATTGTAAGGGACACAGGGTCTGAATGATTTGAATGTCTTTATATAACATTTCTGCTTGTTCTTTAAATGCCTCACAATGTGCTGTGCTTCAAATGGCCTTCAGCAACTTTAATGTCATTTGTCATTGTCATATTTTTCCTCAGTATTTGCACAGTTGCACACTTGTATAGTTTTCAAGGGAAACCAATGCAAATCTCTCCCTGACATACATTTGTCTTGGTTTTCTTTTTCTTGCCATGTACATAAAGCACTGACAAAGACCAAGCTTGTAACAACTCCACTCATAAACATTCAAATTTAGCTCACAGAGGTTTGCATAAGGGCATCATATGTATGTCCAAGTAACGTCTGCATGATGCTGACACATATAAAACGGTCATAGTATGTAAACCTTAAATGCTTAAGCATTTGATGAAATGCATCATCATAACCTTAAATAAAAAATTCAATTTAATCTACATAGTTTTTCATTTTATGTAAGGATGTAAGATCAGCAGATTTAAAATAGATTCTTAAAACAGAATTTGTTATCCTGCAGTATTAAGAAAAGACTAAATACTCTATACCGTTTGTTTCAAACAGCAGTACTGTTGTAAATACCTCATGACTTCTCTACAGGGGTGTCTAGGCAAATAAATATGGACAAGTTGGAGTATAACCACAAGTGCTCAGGGTTCATTTGAGACATAGCCACACTGGTTCCCTCCGGATTTTCCTATTGGGGTTTTATAATGTATTTTACACACTCACACACTCCACACATTCTTTTCTTGGCTACTTATTTAGAAATTCACGTTTTCCATATGGGTGTGTAATTTACATTGAACGAAACGTTAGCGTCGTATTCGGTTTACCACAATTTTACTCATAAATTTAAAACCACCATTATAAAACCCATAGGGAAATGTCGAGGGAACCAGCTGTCACTGACTTCTTGTGAATTGATTATGTCTCTTATTTATGCATGTATATTTATTTGAACAAAATATGACATGGACCACAACAACAATGCACAAAGGAACTATACAGTCTATTTATTTTCTAAATTATAAAGCACATGGTAATTTACTGTTTACATGGCTATGTAATTATAGCAAATAAAAAGAAATCTAGACGTTATTGCTTCTGCATATATGATAATCTACTTTGATATCAGGTCAGCAACAAACTTTTAACAGTGTTTTTAATTAATTTGATTAATTAGTTTTTGTTGCTCTTGTGGGGAATACACGTTTACATCACACAAGTAGAAATTTCAAGTTCATTAGACTCGATTCACAGTGATGTAATTAACACAAATCACCACAGGAGGGCGAACTATTCTAAATTGGTTACACTTGATTTGAAATTCTGTAATTCTCACAAATCACTACAGGAGGACGAACTATTCTAAGTTGATTTTACTTGATTTAAAATGCTGTAATTCTAACAAATAACCACAGGAGGGCGTACTATTCTAAGTTGATTATACTTGATTTGAAATGCTGTAGTTCTCACTAATCACCACAGGAGGGCGAACTATTCTTAGTTGGTTATCCTTGATTTGAAAAGCTGTAATTCTCACAAATCACCACAGGAGGGCGAACTATTCTAGGTTGATTTTACTTGATTTGAAATGCTGTAATTCTCACAAATAACCACAGGAGGGCGAACTATTCTAGGTTGATTTTACTTCATTTGAAATGCTGTAATTCTCACTAATCACCACAGGAGGGCGAACTCTTCTAAGTTGGTTATACTTGATTTGAAAAGCTGTAATTCTCACAAATCACCACAGGAGGGCAAACTATTCTAAGTTGATTTTACTTGATTTGAAATGCTGTAATTCTCACAAATAACCACAGGAGGGCGAACTATTCTAAGTTGGTTATACTTGATTTGAATTGCTGTAATTCTCACAAATCACCACAGGAGGGCAAACTATTCTAAGTTGGTTATACTTGATTTGAAATGCTGTAATTCTCACTAATCACCACAGGAGGGCGAACTATTCTAAGTTGGTTATACTTGATTTGAATTGCTGTAATTCTCACAAATAACCACAGGAGGGGAAACTATTCTAAGTTGGTTATACTTGATTTAAAAATGCTGTAATTCTCACTAATCACCACAGGAGGGCGAACTATTCTAAGTTGATTTTTACTTCATTTGAAATGCTGTAATTCTCACAAATAACCACAGGAGGGTGAACTATTCTAAGATGATTATACTGGATTAGAAATGCAAAGTGAATAAAAAGATTTTTGTATTTTTCAACAAAAGACCTAACCAACCATGAGCACTACACAATCTCATACAGAGGATCATTGTTTGCTTTTGGGTGTGACAATATTGGTTGAAATCCAGCAGGTTTAAAAGTTTCTTTAAACTTACAACTTGTGTACATTTTTTTGCACTACGAACAAGATAAGATTATAAAGCACATGTTTTACTTTAAACTCAGTGGTTCAATGGATATATACATGCCTTGAATCACAACACTGCAATAGGGTCTGTGTATCATCAGGTCGTTTGATTTCCAATTTGAAATGAAATAAGCAGAAATTAGAAAATTGCACCTTTATTCGTTTAAAAAAACAAAAACAAACAAAAAACAGGAAAAAAAGAGATTTTGGCTTGTTTTTATATATTTTAGTTCTAAATGACCTTAAAAAACATCATAGCATCACAACGTCATAACATCATAGAATCACAGCATTCTCAGTGGATAGCTGTCTCTTTTTCAAACTGGAAAGTCTTTGTTCAATCCCCATATTTGCTAAAGTTATTCATCATTTAACTGCACACAAAGCTCTCAAACCTGTTGAAAATGCTCATCATCTCCACTGTCTCAGTGGCTCAGGAGATAAAGCATTGCATTTCAATCACAGTGTTCTGAGTTCAAATCACACTATTGCTGACTTTCACTTGTTCTCATTAGACAAGGAGTCCCCAAAACCAGTTGTTGTAAAATCCATGGTTGAGTGGATAAACTCTCTCTGAGGACAACACTGTGATGAAAACATGGGTTCAACTCTCACTTTAACTGCTTTATTGAAAACTATCAGGATAACACTGAAATATAAGTTCCAGCACATGTCTTGAAAGATATCTGTGGCTCACAGG